AGCTGGGGTTAACTGCTGTTAGCTGGTGTTAACTGGTGTTAGCTGGGTGACAGGCCGGGTGCTCTTTGACATACATTACACACATTATATAGTTTTTGTTGACATTTCCTATATGCATTGATAATTTCTTTGCAGGTTTCGATTCCATTTGATTTGTTGGAATATTAAATCAGTTCAGGATATTTCTGTGTACAATAATTTGCCTAGATATGAAAGAAATTCTCAGAGAATGAAAGCTGTAAACTGTGAAACCTCTGACTTGGTGCATTATTTATAATTCTCAGGTAGACCCTTCACAATCATCGGTGTGTGTGTTCTCTCTTTACATTTTCATTGTCTTTAAATGCATCTCAAAAACTCTCCAGAGAATCAAACAAACACAAAGTAAACTTCAGTTCTGTTCAGGTTCTAATAATGTGTGATGAGTGCTGGTGTTTAATGTGAAAGTGTAAAGTGATCTCAGTTCAGCAGGAAAGTGGAGGACAACACACAAGAGACTCTGACACTTCTGCTCTGATCCTGAAGCAGCAGGATAATTTTACAGCGTTGGTGGAAACTGTATTCACACTTTCTATTTTCACTGACACACATCACCTGTGTCAGTGTGTGACTGTGGGCGGGCACTGTGTATGTGAGTGTAAACTCCGCAGAGGAGATGAGATGAGGAAGCAACTCGATCAAATATCTTGATATTTTCTGGGATTTTGCCGATAATAATAATAAGACTGCTGATGGAGCATGGCCAGGGTGGAAAAAAGAGAGGGGTAAGGCTGAGACCCACATTTCTGGTTCTTGGTGTTCTCTGTAGAGTCAAAACCACAAAAACTCTTTTCTAATAAATTGTTTCTAAACATTTTTGCACACACCGATGACATCACTGGTCATGCTGGTATCATGACTTAGTCAGTGGTCCACCTGAACAAGATGCAGTTTCAGTAACATAAGTCCTGAATGTCTCATTTTATTTTAATGTTTGTTTTTCTTCTGCTGTTTTGGTTGATTTGAATAAACGGTGCTGCGGCGCCTCCTGCAGGTGGAGAGGATAATCGATAAGAGGAAGAACAAGAAGATGAAGTTGGAGTACCTGGTCAGGTGGAGAGGTTATGGTTCAGAGGAGGACACCTGGGAGCCCGAGAGTCACCTATCCACTTGTATGATCTACGTCCATGAGTTTAACCGTCAGCATGCAGAGCGGGAGAAAGACAGCACGTTACTGCGCTCCACGCGAAGCTCACCCAGCCTCCACTATATATCTGCCCACAGACAACCCTTCAGGCCGCCAATCACTGCCTCAGCTCGAAGTGACATCAGTGTGGTTTTAACTGGGGACTGTAAACAGGTGAGTCCAGCTCACCTGCCTCCTATTGGACTGACCAGTCCGACCTCTGTGGGCTCACACCAGCCCCTGCCGGTTGACAGGTTCAGCAGTGGCCTGATGTCGGCAGCTCCAGCCTGCTCAGCCCGCCGTAGCATGGATCTCTCCAAGACTGGCATCAAGATCTTGGTTCCGAAGAGTCCAATGAACAGCCGTCTGGACTCGGAGGAGTCTCCCAGTGAGGCGGCTCACAGTCTTGAGGCTGGACCTCAAGAGGCTCACCAGGTCCCACCTGAGGTCGCTCTTCTGGAGAAACCAACCGGAGTCCAGCTTGGGCCCGGAGAAGAGAGGGCCCGCATGGGGACCAGACCCCGCAGCCAGAACCCTCTGCCCCCACCCCGAGTCCCCATCACACCTGCTGCCATGCGCTCCCTCAGTGGCACAGGTGAGGTCCTAGGTCACATAGTTTGCATGAGTCTGATTGGTTATCACAGCAGCTTGTTTGGATGTCTCAGAAATCATAATCTTAATCTTGGTCACAAAAAAACGTTCAAAACAAATTTAATGAATTTATATAAATAACCTGTTGTTCATGAATGAGGTCAGAGGTTGTGTGAATAAAAAAACACTGGAATGGCCTGTGTTTTTCTTCTTACAGGTAACGTTGCGTTACTAGAGGCTGTTACTGCCAGCGGGATGTCAGGTGGGCAGAGTGCTGTTGCTGGGGCAACCAGTGTGGCAGGGAAGCGTCGTCTAGAGGAACGCTCTGCTTTTGACAAACGCCTGAGGTTCAGTGTTCGACAGACAGAGAGTGCTTACCGTTACCGTGACATTGTGGTGAAGAAACAGGACGGCTTCACCCACATTCTGCTTTCCACCAAGAGCTCTGAGAACAACACGCTCAACCCTGAGGTGGGATCATGCCCCCATCAATTAACCCACACCCCATAATAACAGAGCTCTACAAGTTGTTTTCTGTGATCTTGCTACTTCATTTTTTTAACCCAGGTCTCTTTCATGTGATCATGCCTCTCTGTTCTGATATCACCAGTCCAAACTTGCTCAGGTTAAACTCCACATGTCATGGTGACTGACCTCAGCAGTAATGTCGTCTCCCATTGTCCTCATCAGGTGATGAAGGAGATCCAGAGCGCCATGGCAACTGCGGCATCGGATGACAGTAAGCTGGTGTTAGTTAGTGCTGTCGGCAGTGTCTTCTGCTGCGGCCTAGATTTTCTGTATTTCATCAGGCGATTGACGGACGACCGGAAGAAGGAGAGCATCAAAATGGCTGAAATCATCAGGTGATGCTCACTGAAGTCACAATGGTAACCCTGACATCGGATAGAGGTGTAGATCTCTGACCCTTGTTTCCTCCACACCAGGACTTTTGTCAACACCTTCATCCAATTCAGAAAGCCGATTGTAGCGGCAGTGAACGGGCCAGCGTTGGGCCTTGGTGCCGCCATCCTGCCACTTTGTGATGTGGTGTGGGCCAATGAAAAAGCCTGGTTCCAGACACCGTACACATCCTATGGCCAGACGCCTGATGCCTGCTCATCGTTCACCTTCCCCCGCATCATGGGTCTCGCCTCGGTCAGTCTTCCTCTTCATTTCCATTCACTCACCTTCTCGCTTCGTTTACCATCACTCACCCTACTGCTTCATTTATCCTCACGTTCAGGGTTCAATGTTCTGTTTAGTAAAACGTTCTGTGTTTAAACGTTCTGTGTTTAAACGTTCTGTGTTTAAACGTTCTGTTTAAACGTTCTGTGTTTAGTTAAACGTTCTGTGTTTAAACATTCTGCGTTTAAACGTTCTGTGTTTAGTTAAATGTTCTGTGTTTAAATGTTCTGTGTTTAAACATTCTGTGTTAAGATAAATGTTCTGTGTTTAGTTAAACGTTCTGTGTT